TCTCGCCACGCGGCACTTCCCATGTCCTCCCTATCTGCCTCGTTGACCTTGACGATTGCAGCTTCTCCCTGGCCGCCTGGAGTTCATGCCGATGGGAGAGCCAGGAGACGGAGTCGGCCTGTGCAGGGTCGAAAAGTCCTTCCCACGCTGAGATCCGGCATGCCTGAAGAAAGAGAAGAACCATGTCAATTTCCACTGAGAACGTAGCGCCGGAGTGTGTGATCGGCCTGGAAGCATTGGGGGCCGGCACACCCAGAGTTAGGGGGACACGACCATTCGGCAAAGCAAGAACACGCTTAAACAGGTCGAGGCCACCTCCCGACTTCAGACAAACTAGTCTGTGGTACGGCAGGGTGACTGCAGGAGCAGCCTCGTTGGCGGTGGCCCTAAAAAAGGAGGCCATTCACGGACGAGCACCTCCACATATCCTGGGCTGAGCTTCCGTAGGTGCCTGACATATTTATCTTCTCTTTTGCGGTGCGAGACGTGGAGCTCCGTGAAAATCCCAACCAGTCTGCAGACCGGCGGGCCACCTAACTCGAACACTACCACCGAGCCCTCGAATGGAAACTGCCTATCCATACCTGCAAGATCCGGCGGCAGAATTTTCCGCCGCTGATCCTGGAGGCGTTTTTTTTAAGGGTAGTTCAGAAAACAAACGCCGCCACATGTATAGTTCCGCCGGAGCCAATTGAAAACCGCCGACAACGGAGGATCCCAAAGACATGCTTAAACGTTTGGGCGGGAGGAACCATCTCCTTCAGGGATGTAGCAATAGGTGCAGCAGGCACGCATTCGGGGGGAGATAAAACATCCCTTCAGGGTTGATGTCTCGACCGGTGCCAAACAGCTAGATGACAAAGTGTTGAGTGGCCCCTAAGCATCTTGAAGCGATACCTGGGTAGGGGTCTAGCAACTTGTTAGGTTAGTTGACCCGGGGCTGTGGTGGTGTACCTATAAGTTGTCCCATCACAATAGTCTCGCCAGGGGTGTTTGCTGTTGAAGGTTTCGAACGAAAAGTAATCGGACTTTCAAGTCAAATCACCGTGAGCATATAGGGACATGAAAAATGGCTCTCCTTGCTTTTCCGCCGTTCTCCGCGTTATTCCGCCGTATTCCGCCTTTTTCCGCCGCCGGTTTGGGAAAATTCTGCCGCCGATGTTGACAACCTTTCGGAATTGTGTAATAATCGTGTCGAAACCAACAAATAAGAGTTAGATAGCATCTGGCAGCACCTTCCGCCGTTCCTGGCTCAGCACGAGACACTACCAGCAAGATCAAAATCGATGGCTTGCTGAGCAGAGCTTTCAAGCGAATGCATGCAGCGACCCTGCAGTGCCCGTTCAAATAGCTTTGCATGCATCCTGCTGCCCCCTGGGCCCCTGGGGTGGTATTCGCACCCCGCAGCCATCGGCGTGGCGCAGGTCACGTCAGTTCAGATTCGTGTCCACAATTCAATATATAGGTGGCTTTTTCATGAACAAGCAGACTGTTCACCAAACAGCAAGACAGATCAGACCCCGAGGCAAGAGAGTCCAAAGGACTGCAAAGCATGGCGAAGCAAATCCGCCGCCAGCAAATATATTCCGCCGCCGAGAACCCAAAAGCAGGCATCAATCCAAAAAGGAGTCTTTTGCCGTCGGGGGCATAATTTTCAGCCGCCAGGAGTTTGCAGGTATGGGAGAACCAATTGCGCGCTACGCCAGTCGGGGAAGACGCCACAATCTTCAGAACATACGCACCAAAGCTGGTGCAGGTCGAGGCCGTGACTGTGACAGAGAAATCTTGAAACGTTCTGCTACCCGCGAGGCATTCCTTAGGGGCTGCCTGCTTGTGCGGCTCGCGCCGTCCCTCTTCCGTCGAGTCAGCTAAGGTGGCACCCTTACTAAAGAGGTGAAAATAGAGAAAGTCAACCACTCGGGGCAGGGAGTGCCGCAACAGGACTTTGGCAACTGGTTCAGGGAGCCCGCAAGTTGAGCTCTCCTCCGCAGTAATGTTGTGTAGTTCAACGGTGCTCAACAGCCATGATTTCAGGTTGCTGATTGCAGCCGAAGAGGGTGTCTGGTGTGCTACCAGTTCGGCAAGGAGACCACCAGGCAGGGCCTCCCGAAGGCTCTCGAGGGCGCGCTCTGTGAGCTCCGCTTGCGGAAAGATAGCCCGCATAACCTGCGTGTGCGGTGAGTCACTGAAGACCGGGAAGCGGAACAAATGCAACTGCTGGAAGGCCAAGTACAGTTCGTGGCTGTCGTTGATCAGTGGTAGAAAAGCTCGACAATGCGCAGTATTGACTTCAGAAGGCAGGTATTCCAGTCGTTCGAGCAGATGGCCATATCCATGGCAGGTTGTACCGTAGAGTAGAGGGTTGCCGACGAGCCGCCGAGCAGCCAGACAAACCCCCCCCGGCCGCACGCAATTCCGTATTCAGCTGCTCCCTGCGTTGCGCAGACGGGCTAAAAGGGCACAGCCTGTCTTCACTTGGATGGAGAAGCGATAAGATGAGAGGCAGCTGCAGAAGCTGCTCAAAGATAAAGTCGGGCATGCCCAAGGCTCCGAGCCTGACCACGTGACGGAGCGCGCCACCCTCCAGGGCCACAGCAGAATTGCCGGGCCCCGGCTGTGACGGGATGCGTTCCCACGCTCGATGCGCTAGTATTGCAAGCACCGCCCCTGTATAACTTCCAGCTGAAAAGCCCTGTATAATGAGGGGGCTCGGCCGGAGAGCCGCAAGAAAAATGAGCATTGCACTGAGGCAGCCACTGTGTGGGGACTGCAGATGCGAACTGCGTGGCAGACGCTGAAACGGCCGATGCATCATCGTGACCTCGGGTGGGTTAAGGGGGGAGTCCAGCATGACATGAGCCGCCCGGATCACACACGCTGGGGAGAGCAAGAGGCTAGTGTGCTGGCCGGCAAACGATAGCCTGTCCGGCTCCTCGACGAACAACTGCCCCTTATCGCCCTCTACTGTGGTTTCCATTTGGCATCCCGTGGGCCCGTAACACTGCTGCGAGCACACTACCTGCCAGTTCTCCGTTCTTGCTGGAATGTGGAAAGGCCCCACTCCCGAACACATTACCCTCACGGGGGAGTTCTCCACCGGCAGGGACTGGTCGCGCTCATCGTTGGTGCTTTCCCAGTGTGCCCGCACAAAGCGGCCCACCCATTGGATAGACGGACGCGAAGACGTGCAGGACGGGCCTCTCCGGCCCAACAATACAAAATCCTGGGGCTCCCATGAGGCCATAAAATCCTAACGCCCATCCGGGTGGCTTCCCCCTCCAGGTTCAGAGGCATTCAGCAAGAGTGGGGAGAGCTCTCAGGTGGTCCAGCTCCTTCAGGTGCACCTTACCCCCAGCTCCATACCCGTGTACCAGGGCTGGTCCAACCACTGTGGGTTTGGTCGGAAGGCGTTTGCTCATGAAGAGGCCGGGCCCCGGCAGACAGCCAATTCTGCAACGGACGCTGCTCAGAGAATAGAGCGTGGAGTTCGCGCATTGCTCATGGGCTCCGCGCGCCCACGCGAGCGCCCTGGGAACGGCGCCAAGATCGAGGCAAGAGGCTCTTGTGGGCAAGGAACCCGTACGCGCCCTCATTGTCAGGGCGCCAATAGAAAGCCTGGATCAAGAAGCCTAAGTAAGCCCATGCCGTCGCCACGTCGCCTGAGTGCCTAGCCTGTGCACCCATGAGCGGTGTGCCTGCCAGCCCCAGCATTTCGGCTGGCGCCAATCCGCCGCTACAGTAGAAGAGCCAGCTGGGCAAGAAGCACCGGGACCACCTCGGCGGCCCAATCGTCGAGCAGTGTAGCATCCAGGCGGAGGCGATCCTCATACCTGCGGAATCCATGATCGCTCCTGGGGCCGCCGTGTTCGCACTGGCGTAGAAATTCCACGAACTCACCGGTTGATCGCCACACACGAGGAAGGAGGCCAATGTCTTTGGGGGCATGGCCAGGCTGCGCAGCAAAAACAGAAAATCCTCCCTGGGGGTCAGTGGAGGGTTCCGACACAAAAACGACTCCAATAGTGCTTGTGTCGTGCCGCCTTTGCGCAAGGTCATAGCCACCCGGTGCATAGTCCCAAATTGACCGAATACGCGAAGCGGCCCCCAACTCTTCTTCTTCCAGCACCGGCGCCTCTTGAAAGAGGGCGGCCTCCGCGACTAACTCCTGAAGATCGCGGACCTCAAAGAGAGAAGTGGGCGCCGCATCGTGATCCGCAAGGAGGATGTGCTTGCCGGGGAGAAGCGTAGAGAGCAGCCAGTGCATATACTTTACCCCACCATATCGGGGCATCCGTGAGGGCCGTATCAGCATGGATGGGGACGAAGAGCGCTGAATGTCTCTCTCCGTGGCGGCCAATCCAGCGTCCCCGGTTGATGATGTGCGGCAGCGTGTGTTGGGCATGCTGGTACGTGGTCACATCCGCCGTATCCGTAAAGAGCCACAAGGACTCGCGCATGAGGACTCCTGGCTCCATGATCAAGGGCAGGATCGCCCTCGCAAGCTTGCCGAGAGCCAGTGGGAGAGTTGCATTGCCAAAGGCCACGTCCAACCCACTGCGGAATAGTGTGAGACCCGAGTTGATCGACATCGGGCGGAATCCATATACAGACTCGAAATCCTCATCGTGGTTGCCCACAGCCGATCGCCGCACGCGGTGGCGGCCCCGCTGGGCTACCAGTAGGTTCTCAACCGCCGCAACCCAATGTTCTCCAGTTTCCACAGACCGCGCCGTGACGACAACATTGCTCGCGAGGATTTTCGTTTTTGAAACGATTTGGTTTGCTAGCCCTCAAAGCCCGGAAGGCAAGTTTTGATTTTCAACACATGCCTTTTTCCTTTGCGCATGCTTGGACGTGGCAGTGTTGAATTTCGCTTTCGTTTGCCTTTTTGGTTCAAGTTCCTTTTCTGGTCAAATTTTTCATTGAGCCTCGGGGCCGTTCCTTGCTTCGTACGGGCTTTCTAGAGTCCCCTCTTTCTAGAAGTCTAGCCTGGCTGCTGCATGCCGGCAGCTTCTCGACGAAGCTCATCGGCTTCCGGCGATGACGCCACTGATTCTTACAATGGCGACCATGATGCCGGGCGTCGTGCTGATCGTGCGTCGGCAGGGGTCTCCTCTGAGCTTTTGACCGGTGCAGATGAGCCTGACATGGAGGACGAAGGGAGCGATGCTGCACGTTGGGCTCGCCTCCGGCGGCTTGAACAGGCGCGGCGGCCGCTCTCGTTGTCACTGGACAACGTGGTTGCGGGCGGTGTGGCTTCAGCTTCTGCCGGGCCTATGGACACCAGTGCCGCTTCGACTCCTGGGTCGACATTGACTGCGGGTGCTCCTAGCCTTCTCGAGCTGGCTCGGCGCCTGGAGGTGGCGGTTGAGCGCTTGGATGGCCTTGATACTATGGTTGCCATTTTGACCCACCGTCTGGATTCTGCGCTTGATCGCCTTGGCTTCATCGAGGACCATTCTCTTGTCCAGCTGGAGAAAATTATCCGCGATCTTCGACTACGACTCTCTGAGTGTGAATCCAATGCATTGAATGACCTCAGCAATCGCAGCGAGCTTCGAGATGATCTCACTCGGCATGTTCAGGCTTGCAATACCCCTGAGGCTCATGCAGGACTCCGGCGTCAGCTGGCGCAGATTTCTCAGGATGTTCATTTCTTGATGGAGACACGCCCTGGGCCTCGTACTCCATGATGCCGTGACGGATGCAGGGTGGTTTTGACTCTGGGGGACGGCTGGTTTTGGATCTTTTGGCACGTTGCTGTTCAGACGGGGAAGCTCGCCGAGTCGTACTTCCTTGCCTTAGCTGTCATTTTGGTGGCGGGTCTCAGCCTGCAAGCTCCTACCGTGAGTGCCTCCGGCTCTCCCGAATGAAAGGCTTTCTGCATTCGCAGCGTCATGTATCAACTGCACAATTATGTCATTGATGTGTTGCTGAACATTTGGTTTCTTGCTGCCTCGGTATGCATGTACTTGCTTGTGCCTTTACCGCTTGCCGGCTCCGAGTGCGGGCTGTGCTTACGGGACGGGTCTGGGGGTGGGCCACGCTGGCGCCGCTTCCTCAGTCGGAGCCTTCACGCCTGTGGTGCGTAGTGGCCCTCGACCTGGCCCCCCTGCCCCCCCCCCCGCATCAAGCCTGTCCTGTCCTGCTTTTCAGGTCGCGGTGACTTCGGCTCCTGCTGGCCAGCTCCTTGGCTTTTGAGTCCCCGAGGCTTCTCCTGGGATCTCACGTCATACCTTCTGTCGCTTTTCAGGTCGCGGTGAGGATTATTTTTACTGGCCAGCTCCTCGTGTTGAGTCCCGGTGGCTTTCCCTGGGAGCTCACGTCATGTTCATCAGGTCGTGGCTGTGACTGAAGAGCCTTGCCGCGCCCCTAGGTGGATGCACTGGAGCCGTTCTCTCGGTTCCCGTTGTGCTTTCAGGTCTTTCCGACGGATCTGAGTGAAGGGGCTCGCCCCTCATCTTGAGTCCTTTGGATTGCCCGGGGATTTCACGTGTCTCTTCAGGTCGGTGCTTGATTGCTGGGACCCAGCACCGTTCTCAGTTTTGAAGCACTGGAACCGTGGCATGCTCGGTTCCCGTGGTGCTTCTGGCGGCTTCAGGTCGCTTGGCGTTATTCGCCGCGGGGACCCCTGGCCCTAACCTTGGCTGCGTCTGGCAGACTTTTCTGCCTCAGCCAAATCACGGGGGTTCTGAGTACCTGGTCGATCAGGTCTTGGTACTCCCTAGTTCACGCTGTACTGGGACGGCGCTTCTGCGCTAGGCCGTTGTGCTTTGCACTAGCGCTGCCTTTTTGCCCCCGTGTCCCCATTCACGCCCCCCCCCCTTCCCTCCGCTATCAGGTCGGTTCTCTATGTCGCGGCGGAGCTCTTCACCGTTTTGCTTCAGGTTCAATCGGAGGCGCCCCTACAGTTCTCTTGAGGATGATCCGATCGTTGATACAAGCCCGCCTCGCTCGGGACCTGCGTTGGTCCAGCCGGCCTGGGCCACTGCCTCGGATCTAGCGGAACTCGCCCAGGATCTTCGATTGTGTATGTCTCAGGCTGCGAACCTTGAGGGCAGGCTTCTTAATATGGAACATTTGGTGTGGCCTCCGAACTCTGACAATTCTCTTTTGTCGGATGCGGCGGATCGGTTTCTGGCTATCGAACAGAGAGTTGCTGCTCTATCCGAGGGCTTGGATTCTGTGTCGCTGCATGTCAGCCAGACTGCTTTACAGACGGATGCACTGTCCTGGAGGTTGGATCGCTTGGAAACGCACTCGTGCCGAGGGACGAGGTACGACAGTGTATGCTAGCGCCAGTATCCCTTTGGGAAACATCGAAGGTGTTTCGCTAGAAAACGTCGAAGGGGTTTTCCTCTGAAGCTAAACAGAACGAAGCTTGTCTGTTTGCTAGAGTGTCTGCACATGGCCGGTGAAGCAGTGCTACTCCGTGGCCATTGTGCTGAAAGGCCCCCAGCTATTGGGGGGCAAATTTCGAGTGGGGGTAGGAAGGGGAACAGGGCTAATTAGCCCTGCTTTGGGTGCGCTGCCATGTCGGACAGCGACGCTACCCTGGCGCCGACCACGCCAGATGGCGCAGCAGCTACAGCCGTCGACTGCGCTACTGTGGTTGGGGATTCCCCGCCCCCGCTAAGTGGTTCGTGTCCTACCGAGGTACCCACGCTAGGGGGGGACGACACCGCGGGGGCTCCCTCCGGGGAGGTACCCTCGTGGGTCCCGCAGACCCCAGCTAGTGACCCGCAGCCCGAGGAGACGGGGCTGCTCTTCGAGGGCTGGGAGATGGAGGCAGAGCTAGAGGCGCAGGCTACGGTCCAGCAGGAACGTAGGCGCACGCTAGACAGGGCCTACCGGCATCTCACCAGCCAGGGGTTTGGGGTCTTGGAGCTAGCGGTGGTGGACCTGGACGACGCGGAGGACGTCGCCAAGCAGCTAGCACGAGAGCTAGGTATCCCATACCAGCCGTGGCTATGGGATGGCGTTTACTGCTGGCTACAGGAAGCACGGCAGGAAGCTACGGTCTATCAGAGGGTGCACGGCTACTTCCAGGACGATATCACCTGGAGAGCCCGGATGCCGCCGCTACCGACCCCAAGGGAAGAGGTCGAAGAGGCGGTGCTTCAGCCACCGGCGCCGCTAAGACCTCCTCCCGGGGAGCGGAACCGAAAGACGCTACAGCCCAGCACGATCAGTGCGGCTAGAGAGGAGCGACTGCTAGACGTTTGGGCGAGGAAGCTCCGTGAGGAGCTGCTAGAGATACATGCCCCGGTTCTCGCTAAGCTGCACGGGAGTCTGGACCCCGCGAGGGCAGCTATGTTGCTTCCAGGGAAGACCCGGGCTTCCACTTTGAAGCGCTACCTGAGCTACTACAGGCAGTGGCGCCAATGGCTCCACGCAGCTAAGCTCAGGCCGCCTCCGGGCACCGCCGCGGACCTGGTGGATTACCTCCTCGCTAGGAGTGATGAACCCTGCGGCCGGTCAGTCCCTGAAGCTATTCTTAAGGCTATCTCTTGGGTGGAGAAGGTGGCCGACTTCCCGGTGGAGCTACGGACCACCTTTGGTCGCCTGGTTTGGGCCGCTAAGGATAGCATAGTGGAGCAGCTAGCGGAGGGCGCCCCCCTGATCAAGAGGGCGCCCCGCTACCCTGTCTACATGCTGGTGCAGCTAGAGCTCGTGGTCATCAACCCCGCCCTGGCAGCAGGCTGGCGGATCTGGGCCTGGGCTAAGTTGGTCAAGGTTTGGGCCACGCTAAGATGGTCGGACCTCCAGGCTATCTTGCCGGCCGAGCTAGTGATGGTGGAGGGGCGACTCACCACCATCCTCCGGAAGACCAAGACGTCCGGCGCTACGAGGAGGGTCAAGGAGCTACCGGTCGTGGTGTCCGAGCACGCCTTTCTGGTCGCTAAGAGCTGGCTGGTGACCGGCTTCGACCTCCTCAAGGCCCACGCTAACTACGCCCGGGACTACCTCATGCCGCGGCTGGGCCGGGCGGGGCAGCTAGAGAAGAAGATGGCTACCTATGCGGACGCTATGGTGGCAACCGCGGGGCTGCTGGCTATCATGGGCTACCCGCGGGAGGTCCAGGGCTATTGGACGGAGCACAGTGAGCGCTCAGTGCTACCAACAGGGTTGGCGCTAAAGGAGATCCCCCCGCAAGATAAGGATCTGCTAGGGCGTTGGAAACCCGAGGGGTCCGACGTGTACGCTAGATCCTTTGCGGGTCGGGTGTCCCGTCTCCAAGCTCTCTTCGCTAAGACAGCTAGGGGGGACGACCGCTACGAGGCGCTCGACGAGCGTGAAATCGCCGCGGATCTGGAGCCCTGGCTGGAAGAGAGGGCCAAGCTAACCCACAGCCAGGCTATCCACATGGCGGCGAGGCTGCGGAAGATCTGGATGGAGGGCCTGCTAGGAGTCCCGACAGAGGCGGAAGAGCTAGAAGTTCCCGAGGGGCCCGAAGAGCCAGTGGAACCGCTAGTGCCCGGGAGTAGCTCCGAGGCCTCTGCAGAGGTCGTGGAACGGCCCGCTAAGAAGCAGGCCAGGGTTCCCGACCGCAGCCAGGGCAGCTATGTAATCGTAGAGGTCCCGGGTGCCATTTTCCGCCTGCACAAGGCGGGCGCTACAGGTTGCTGGATGGGAAAGCGACGGGCTTTCCGCAACGCTAGGGTTTTTGATTCGGTTCCGGAGCCGCATGAGTACACACATGTGTGCAAGCTATGCTGGCCGAACCAGGGGGCTATCTCCGAAGGGGACGCTAGCGAAGGATCGCTCGCTAACTCGGAAGATGACGAAGCCCCGGAGGATCACGCAACGGGGTCCGCTAGCAGTCATCCTTGAGCGCAGGGCGTGCTAAGCCGCCGAACTCGCACTCGCACTGAGGCTAGAAAGGCTGCTAGGTCGGCACCCTCTTTTCCTTTCCCCTCTGTCTCCCTCTCTCTCTCTCTCTTCCCTCCCTTGCGAAACGCCGCTAGTTTTTAAAGGGGGTGTGCTCGGGGGGGGGGGGGGGGGGGGGGGGGGGGGGGGGGGGGGGGGGGGGGGGGGGGGGGGGGGGGGAGGGGAGAAAGAAGAGAGTGGAGGGAACCACGTTCTTGCTACATGTCACTTGCTGTGTTGCTTGTGTTGTGCTTTCGTGTTCCGCTAGTGCGCTGTAGGAGGAGCAAGGAGCGAAGGCAGGCGCTAGGAAACCGGGGCCGGGGGACCCCTTTGCTGGCCACCCAGGGAACACAGGAGCTAGGAGAGGAGCCAGTGTCTGCGCTAGGTCCGTCCTGCAGGAAGGAGCTAAGGAGCGGAGGAAGGCGCTACGAAACGTGCGGGTTTGGACCCCGCTAGGCAACAGGGCAACAAAGGAGCTAGGCGCAGGAGCCAGTGGCTGTGCTAAACCTCCCTCCACGCTAGCCCTCGGCTTCGCTACCCTAAGGTAGCTAGATTTTCGATAGTCGTTTCACCTGATCCGTGCCTTGGGCGCCAAAGGAAAGGATGCCACTGCTACAACGCCTAAGGGCGCGGGGCCACCAGGTGGTCCAGCTACGGCAGAACAGCCCGCTAGCGGAGACTACCTTCCGGAGACCCTCCGCGGTCTTCGGAAGGCGCTAAGGTTTCGGCCTTCAGAGTGCACGGATGGGCTGCACCGCTATCTCGACAAGCCTCTGCTACAGGAGCTGATCGCTATGTCGCAGGAGGCGATCGAGAGGCTAGA